ATCCCATAATAACTATGGAAGTTGATAATCATTATTCTGAACTCGGTGTTGCTACGGATAAATATAGGAAATAATTATTATGTTGCCAAACTCATTCGAAAAATACTGTCCAGAAAAAAAATTATCGAATCGATCGCGCTGTGCTTTTCCTTTGTGTCTTTTCTTATTCTGATTTTGGCGAAGTTTCGATCTAATCAAAATTTCATGTTTTGTATTGCCATCTTCGATTTCAGTTTCCAAGAAAAACTGATAGCTTTATCATTAAAGAGGGGAAAACAATAGTTACTCTTTTACCATTCAATTCGTATAGCGTTGTGGTAAGAGTGAGTTTTTAAATTAGGCATCATCATGTTTCAATTGAACTGTGATCCATTTCAATATATTGGTTTAGATTCACGTCAATATCTCCCATTTGAGACAAGATAAGAGTGTTTTGATAAATTATGGCATTTTAAAATTCTGTGAACGATGATTCAGAACCAACATGAACTTATAAATCAACAACTTGAATGAAATATATAAAATCGATATCACTGTAATTTCCACCACATTTTCATTGCACTTCCTGGTGAAAAAAAACTCGATTTCAAAAACAAACAGAAAGCAGACTTCCTACTCTATAAGTCTGTAGTCAATAACTTGTATGCCCTCCTTCAACTTGAATTAGAGCATTCAACCGCCGTGGCATCGAGTTGATCAGCTTCAAATTCTTCTTGAAGGACAAGTCATAACTCTTCAAGAGTCTCTGGCAAGGCTGGACGATAACGAGTTTATCCCAAAGATCAAAGATAGGTTCTGTATTATTGTCAATGGAAATAATCAAAATTCATAGTTTCTGAAACACTTGTATATTCTCTTGAAAATAAGATATAGACGTGAATCAAACACCATCATATCAAGAAGAGATCACACGTAAATCAAAAACATAATGAAGGTTGCAAAGGAGAAAAAACTCAGTCACAATACTTCATAAAATGAATGAAAAGGGTAGATAACAAGAGAAAAACAATTACTTTCCTGGCAATTTAAGAACATTCAATTTCATCCTCCAGAAATCTATGCAACGATTCGTGATAACAAATACAACTGCAAGTGATTCTTTCCTAGATGGAAAGAATACACTTTCTTATAATCATCATGCTAATCGCTTTTTTTTTTGGTATCTTAAATACATGGTAACATTCCGGAACCTAAATCAACTTCTTTGCCGTCACATCAACAACATCGGACAATAATTGAAAAAGTTAATTTGGCAACAGTTTTTTATGGACAGGGTTCTTGCCTGTGAGAAGCCCTAAATCAACATGTAATAATCCTGTCGAATTCTCAATTTGGCAGCAGTTTTTTAGTGATTCTCAGAATGTGACATATATCAATAAGCAAAATAACGATCACTCTCTAACTAGCTATGAGTTTCAATCTCTAGGTTCCTACAGACAAAGAGTCCGCATTCTTCACGTTTCTGGATCCTCTCGGCGTGGACATCTGGATATTTGTAGGTGGCGCTTTTTTCATGGCCGGCTTCACCATTTTCACCGTGGCCAAGTTCACGCCCTGTGAACTCGTCAACCCCACTCCCTGGAAATCGGACAGACTCGTCAACAACCTGTCGCTGTCCAACAGCTTCTGGTTCGTCACCGGCACGCTGTTGCGGCAAGCTTCTGGGGTTTCTCCGCAGGTAGAGAGTTAGAGACCAACCACATTATCTTTGGAACCCTGCGTGATTCCACATATGCGACCACGCGCTGTCCCAAAGTTAACCTGGTCGCATATTTGTGTTGACACCAGGCTGTTGAAAGCAGTTTGGGTTTGGGCAAACAGTACATTTACAAATGATAACAGATTTGGACACCAGAGGCGATCAGAGTGTTACAACTAGTTAGCGTTTGTTGTGGGCACACATTTATAGATCCTAACTGGTGTTGACACACCGGTGTTGAATTTCGCAAATGCTTGTTGCACATATACATAATTGATATTATAATAATAACTATTCAATTTCGCATCTTTCAAAACTATTGGAAGGATTTTTTTGCAAATTGAGATTACTTCATGTCCCGCAGTTATAATGTTTTTATCGTTAAACTTGGCAACATTCAATGTTTGTCGGTTGTTGTCCGCATTCCGTTCGTTGTTTGTGTTTTCGCACCTACGCACTCAGTAGATTCTATCATGTCTGTCTGTTCTTAGACCCCCATGTATTCAGGCAAGGTGTTCGTTAAGGACGTTGAGTCAAAATCGAGGTCAAAATAGTATAATGATATTGTTTGCTTATCTCGAAAACAGATTGACTCTTTTGGTTGGGATGACCAATACAGTGTTTAATTGGAAATTAAATTTTCTGGCATTTGTGATTCATGTAGGTATCGATTGGATACAGAATCAACGGATATACCAAAACAGATTGGATTGTTAATCGTACATATTCAAATGTAGACAATATGACCGTCCGCAAAGATTTTGTGTCACCATTTCAAAAGCAACTAATCTGTAGATAGCAACCGTTTACGCAATGAAAAATCGCAAATAATCTAGCAAAATGAATGTATGTAGGTACTACCTCCTCGATTAACCTACAGACAGTATCGAAACCAATGCTGATTTCAACTCCTAACGCGCGACAGTGACAGAATCTGAATAGTTTACACTACCTGCCATCTTCTGTTCATGGTATAGTTCATGCAAATTCAGTTGGAAAAACAGAGCACCGCAAGCCGTCGGACCCTTTGAGAGTTCAAAGAGTGCGGCAGCGCGGCCCGACATTCGTTTGATGATCTGTTAAACTGACTTTGCATAAACTATAATCATACTTTTGTTGTCGAAGTGCCAGTAACGTAACGTGAAGAGTAAGAGGCGTCTCTATTTTATCTTTTGATTAACTGAAAATGTTTATAAATATGAAGAATTATCAAGATATTTTTTTCTTACGCCAATCTCTATTTGTTGTTACACTATTGAATTTCAATTTACTATAAACTATTTAGATGTCGTCCCTATACCTATGTATATTAACATATAACAGTCGAAATTCAACACTGGTGTCAATATCAGTAAAGTTAGCATCTGTGAATGTGTGTCCACTACAAAATCCTCCCACTGGTTTCAACACTCTGATCGCCTCTGGTGTACAAATCTATAAGCATTTGTGAATGAATGTACCTTTTGCCCAAACCCCCACTGATGTCAACACCCTGGTGTCAACACACGATAGCCTCTGTGAATATGCAACCTGGTCGGCCTCAAGTCGTCGTCACGAACAATAACCGGCCACAAGTTAACTCAACTTTGGAGCTGCGATCAGTGACAACAACAACGCAGATGAGTCGATGGGGATGATGGGGATAACCAGTGCTCAGGACCATAAATGTCATTGTATTTGAAATATAGACGACAAGCTGTTATCGAGTATCTTTCAATATTGACCGAATTAGCCTCATAGCACATAGTCGCCTGAGGACATCCTGGAAATTTCGCTACCCTAGAAAGGAGTGATAACAGGTGGACGTCCTAAAAACGTCTTGCATTTCCACATCACAATTTTCTCAGAAAGTTTCTCAGCCGGCTTTAAGATGTCTCTGAAGAATATTATTGGGATGTTCTTATAATGGTAACAGTTGGATGCCTTGAAAAATCCCTGCGGATGCCTTTCGCCAACATCAGTGTATTATCAGGATCTCATTGATGAGACGGTTATTCTCCTATCAACATTTGAAACCTGATACATGTTTTCTATCTTTTGGAGCGCACGAAAGTTAATTCCAATTATCTTCGATATTTATTATCTTGAACAGACATTCTGAAAACGAATTCAGAAGAGGGTGAAGAGTGAAAAAGTCAATGTTCAACAAATGGCAATAGAAATAGAAAACCAGCTACTCCACTGTCTTTGTTTCGCAGAATATTTTCCTGGAATTCATGCAAGGATTCACCAAACTCATTATTATTTTCGAGGCTCTATATACAGGATGTTTCCGATATTAGGGCAATAAATGAAATGAACGATAGAAGACGAAAAAACAAAACGAAATGATGAAATACATTTTTGTCAAAGAAAAATATTTATTAAGATGTTGAGCTTCTAAGTTTTCTTGAAATTTTTATAAATCATTTTTTAGATGTTGATAACTCGCGCCAAGGGTTCACTTCTGGCGAGATCACAAACACCAGAAGTATCAATGACTTTTAAAATAAGTCATGGAAACCATCCATTCTCAAAGTGGTCCAGTATTTTTCAAAGGGAGAAAAAAACAATAACTCGACCGACTTTGAGTTATTGTTTTTTTCTCCCTTTGACTTTTAAAATGTTGTTGGACGTTCAAAAACAGTTGAAAGATGTAGTAGGGTGGAAGTGCATGTTTTTCGAAGATGTTCAAAACATTTTTGGTTGTGATTCATCGTGACATTATGTCTCATAAAATACCTCATTTCATCTATTGAAACACCTTATATATACGAGTATTTTCTCAATTATTTATTGGTCCAGTAGTAAGAATGGTAGTTTATGAGCCACAACTTCATTAAATGACAACTGTTGCTGGTGGTTCGACTTCTCCTAGTTCTGGAGGAACCCTCACCAAGTCATGGGTTCGAACAGGACCTACTCTAGGCCCTGGTTTAAGCCTAAAGCCATGGTTGTTTGTGTTGTATGCTTCCCTAACCCCGCAAGAGTTTCGACTTATGCGGCGTTGTTTCCAGTGCTGGGACTAACGAGATCACTCCCATTTCCGTTTTTGGAGTGATTATTTTTCTGCACCAAGCTCAACCAGCTGAATTAATGTAAACGAATCGTTATAATTTTCTTTAAATTCTATAAATTTCTATAAATATAAATTTTTTATAAATTTCATGAGAATGTTCTGCGTGACAATACCAGGGAAGTAGCTGGTTCTCTACCATTGCCATGCATTTGATGAATATCGAGTTTTTCTCTCTTCATCCTGTTCTGCATTCATTCCAAACATGTTTGTTCTTGATATAAAATATTCATTTATTTGTTGAAGGTGCCCAAGAGCCAGCAAGCCAAACTGTTTTCCTTCATGAATCCCCTCGCCATGGATATCTGGTTGTACGTCCTATCTGCCTACGTGCTGGTATCCATCACGATGTTCGTGGTAGCCAGATTTTCGCCATACGAATGGCAAAATCCCCATCCGTGCGAAATCGAGAACGTTCTGGTGCGAAACCAGTTTTCACTCGCCAATTCGTTCTGGTTCACAATCGGTACTCTGATGCAACAGGGATCAGATCTCAACCCGAAGGTACCACTCTTTTGTTCTTCTCGAATCCCTTGATGACGCTATACTATTACCGGCAAAACCTATTTTTGTAAAAAGCAAATTCCAATTCGCAATAAGGTCATAGTTTTTTTTTTATTAACTCGGCCGTTAATTGATGGAAATCCATGGCAAATGTGAAAACTTCACAAATGATGAAATTCCCACAAAATTCTCATTCACGTGAAATACTGGTACAATGAACTGAACTAACCTTGGCTTGCCTAACTTTTATATATCTTACTTTATCAACCTGAACGATTAGAATTATCTGTGGACGCAGGTTCGATTACCCTTCATTTTCGGAAAATAGGCACAATATCGACATCAAAATACGGTGGAGCCATTGTGGATCTTTTATGACAATTTTCGTTGAGAAGTGTTATTTCATTTGATAATATTAATGGAGTACATCGAAATACTGTTAGATCATTGCGGTGAATGAAATCGGTAGGAACGTTACTAGCATTCACTTACATTTTATAAAAAATATAAGAAGTTGAATTATGACGCTTCATATTGCAACTAGATGATATATAAAATCCCTCGTTTTCATATTGTTACCATCATTTCAAGATGTGAGTCATTATATTGGACGGAATTTCGAAGAACCAGTCAGTAGATACATCTATTCCATGAGGATTCGAGATAGAGCAAAAGATTTCTGCAGTATAAGCACTCATATTTTTCTCCTAGTTGAATATACTACAATTTAACTCCTTTTCAAATCCTGCATGTTCAATAAGCACCTGTTATTTCTCTGCTATATATTTCTTTAATATCAATTTCTATCATTCGGGATCACTTTTCAATCTGAGAACGTGAAAATCCAACATCAAAATTATTCCCTTCTCTCCCCACATGAAAAATATGGGTGCTTATTCAACGTGGTTCATTCAGAATGAGAATCTTCATCGATATACATCACCTTACTATTTGAATTTATACTCCGAGAAGGTTGAGTTAAATTGTGGTACGATTCATACACTGAAATGAATAATCAGTTGTCATAAATGCTTGCTTCTTACTATCATTCGTAAAATGCTCAAACTACAGAGAGAAACGATATTAGGGTGAAAATATAACAACATGGAAGGTAAGAGCAACAAGAGATAGGTATTTTGTGCTGCTGTCGTCCAGTTCTTTGTAACATCTTTCTTTTAGGTAAATGTTCATCAATTCATTGGTATCAATCATCATTAATTAAGACACAACCGACTCTTTTACTAATTGTATCTGAGAATTCAGGTCTGTTCATCAAACTTTTCGTTATAAAGTTCATTAAGTCTTTGAACAATACGTATATCTGACATGATTTAATCAACTTCAAACAATGAATATAAAAGCAAATAAATCATGATTGAGCCTACAGTTGGATGGAAATGTTTTAGTCACGCCGCTTCTCGCCATAGCATCGACAGAACGATTATATTTATTCAATATCATGGGTATCATCATCCATGATATGGAAGAAGACGATTCCTATTCAAAGTCATGAATATACACGTATACTCTACTAGATCACTTTATGTAGAGCTAACTCGATGATTCCAATAATTATTATCCTACCAGTAAGAGCTGTCATTACCGCATTTTCCTACTTTTGCAATAGATGAAAACTTGGTCATCCAGCTTTATGACTCTAAATTGTTTTTGAAGAAAACTATCAATATATCAATCAGAAATCAGACAAGTCTATAGATCTCCATCAAATTGTTGTATTTTTGATTGAATTCGACGTCAGTGATAAATCTGTCATATGTGTATTTCAAATTTTTCATGAAATTGTGATGTGAAACCGTATAAGGCCGAAACGCCAATTTTGGTCTGCCGTATACTGGCCCAGAATATGCAGGCCAGAATTGGCCAGATAGACAAAATTCTTGTGAACATTGATGGGCCAGTAACAATAGGAGACTTTATGGCCGTCATCAGAGCCAGTACATTGCCGATACATTCAGATAAAAAAAAAACGACCGCCACGGGATTCGAACCCCGGTCCTCCGGTTACAAATCGAACTTAATTAAAATATGCCATTCATATGCCAAACTATTATGACACTGGGCCAGAAGGCGGCCAGAAAGTTGATGTTTGCTGGGTTAGATCAAAGGCAGGTTTCATGAAGCCTTCGACAGACTTTCTGATTTTCTATCTCTATTGATACTGAACACAAGAAATACTACCGCTTTATACATAGAGAAGAGGTCTGTTCGGTGTTTCTGCTTAAAATTTCTATTGTACACTTATTATTTCTACAATACACTTTTCGGCGTAGACGAGTGGAGTGGAGTGGAGTGTAGCAAATCGATATCTTGTTCGTTGCTTGTGGTGTGGTCAATTGTATTGCTATTTCGCGTATTTTTATTGTTAAAAACTCATGGAACTTGAAAAAAACAAGATATGGTGATGATGAAATCATTGACAGTTGGAGGTGCAAGTGGAAGAAGGGGTCAAGTAACATTTTCCGAAAATATTCGGTTATGTCACGGAAGAAAGTGTTATGTGCATATGTAACTTGCCATGTCATAATTTGTTTCTATTCTTCGTACCTGAGCAGATACATAGAGGTAAAAGGGGCTATGTTACATCAAGCATCAATTACGCAATGGATAAAGGAGCTATGTACCCATTGCCTACATGTCAAAAAATGAAAGGAGGGGCTATGAATGCATAAATCCAGATGTCTATATCAAAAAATGATATGATAGCAGAATGTTGTAAATTCAAAAAAATCAACCTTTAGCTATTTCTCATAACTACATGAATCGAATTATCAAACTAGCTCCCAATAAAAAATGCCAGCTAGCTTTATTGAAACCTATTTATCTCAAGAACCCATATTTGTAACATAACTTCTTGTTCCACTTGCCCCTTCAGTTATCTTGAATTCAGATGGTGAATCAATTACGATCGATGAGGATTCATCAATGAAATCTGTTTCATCAGTAATAATTTACAAGACCAGAGTGTTGTTTATGCTCCGAAAACAAACTCCTAACCTAACAACTATCTGCACTACACTCCTCACACTTCCTCAAGATCAAGTGTTAAACTCTGTTTTGGAGATGAATTATCTCCAGTTATTGTGTTACAATACTTTGACAACGAACACGTTGTGAGTGAAGACCATAAAACAGCGAATGGTACCAGTGCTCCACAATCTACTCTGCTGTACAATATTGTAGTTATAGGAGGCACAGCGAACACACCTAATGTTCCTTATATTATTGGTAATTTTTTAATATCTCCATAGGCAACCTCCACCCGCATAGTGGGCGGCATTTGGTGGTTCTTCACTCTGATAATAATCTCGTCGTACACAGCAAACTTGGCGGCTTTCCTGACCGTTGAACGCATGATCACCCCTATCGAGAACGCCGAAGATCTGGCAGGTCAGACGGAAATTCCGTATGGCACCCTAGAGAGCGGATCGACCATGACTTTTTTCAGGGTGAGTAATTAGCTAGGGGTCGAGGGTTTTCGATCTCATATCCGGGATCAGTGACGCAGCAATTGGGCAAAGCTGTAGAGGTATCCAGGAAAAAACAGTATAACAAGGAGAAAACAGTATAACACAAAGTCGGTCGACCAAAAAACACCTAGTTTTTAGTTAAACTTATCTTCACATTTCTTCTTAGGTATTTTTTTCCTCAATAGTTCATTGTCTATTTGTAATTTCATAATCTTCACAGGTATTTTATGTGTCTGAAGATGGCTGTTGAGCCGAAACTAGTCACAAACTTGATTTGTAAATATAATTTTCGTGGTCAACCGACTTTGTGTTATTTTTTTCATGTTCTGGTTCCCACGAAAAGGGATATCCTATAATGTTCAGAGAACATTGTGAAAACCAAAGGAAATAAGGTAGGAATTGGTGTTCTCCTCGAATTTCTGGAGGTTATTCGCCTCGGGGAACACCTCCCTTGGCGATGTGTTCCAGAGTCTCATTGTTCGTTTAATGAACGAGTCTTTGGAAAGAGATGTTCTGCAGGTCTCCAAAGTGACCACTAAGGGGTGCGAAGCCTCATGGCGGGTTAACCAATACTGTATTTTCCTTGAACAAATTTTGGACCACTTTGAGAACGATGGATGACTGTAAAGATATGTTCATGCTGGTTCGAATTCTGCAGAATTTATTCGAATAAAATGGCGACTGCGAATATCGCAAAGAAATTGAAATATTTGAACTTTTTTACTAATTCTGATGGAATCATAACCACACAGTATGCGTAAAATGTGTTGTTATTTCAATATAAAAATTGGGAACTTAGGGAGCGGAGAGCAGAGGCTGCAAAAATACAAGGAGAGAGTCCCGAAACGACCATTTTTCGTGGTGTGACGTCACTTGTATTTTCTTGAGGCTCCCTCTGACGACCTAAAGAGGATGCGTTGCACAAAACCACAGACACAGAACTCAAGCACAGAGTGGTTGGGTGATCTGTGACTTGATAGAAAAATGGCTACAAGCAAACTATTTCATTTTCAGTGATCTATCAGTGTCATATCAGTGATATTCTTTCAATCTGAATTAACTGAAATATTTCACTTAAACTGAACTGAATCAGTTGATATGCGTTCTTTCAAATGACGTTCATTGCATGTCAACCGATTCAGTTAAGTATTCAAGTGAAATGTGTCAGTACGTTCAGAACGAGAGAATATCACTATTATAGTTTTTATTGAGTGACAAATGTAATGACAAATGTTGACAAGACCAAGTGACAAGACGAATCATCCAATGAGAATGTCCGTCTGAAGTGTATGACACGGTGTGACGCACCTTGCATTCGTCCAATGAAATGCCATCAATAGTTCGCGCGCATTCGAGCTATCGTTTGAGTTTAGGTTCCATTTAATAATTTTTTTCTGAGTCAAGCGCAATCGTAACAAAATTGAAAAAATGCTGAATTCACCCAGTATGTGTTCTGAATCATGAAAAAAAATTCAAAAAATCATGGTGAAATTCCCTATTGCTGGAGCTGTCACTATAGAACATGTATGTTTGATAGAACCTTATTCTTCAGAAGATTATACGGATCAGAAAACCCAACATGTGACATTCCATGAGCTTTTTGATTTTTAATTCATGCTTGAGGATGATTTTCACTGTTTCCATATTGTTTCATACCAATCCACTATTGAACTAAAGAAAAAATTGTTCTAAAATTGTTCTTATCCATCATTCGGTTGCCCCCTTACGAGCAACCCTCAGAAGTCTTCAAGATACTTGTGGCTTGTTAGTTATTAATCACCATGTAAATTCACGATTATTCATTTTTCGAGTTTATAACTCATTGATTAGGAATGGTAAATATCCGAGATAACAGAAAAGATGTTCCATTCTATCAACAAATTAGTAATGTATTCAAAATATCGTGAATAAGTCTGTACTCGTTGGTGAACCGTGTTTGGTTCATCAATCAAACAGCCTCGTCGTTGTTTGCAAAAATTTAATATCTACCAAAATTGGTATATCGGGAAATCCCTAATTGGTTTGCTCTCCCGACATCAATTTTTCAGTTATACCTCCGGATCTTCTCAAAGCTGAAAATCCGGACAAAGAGATTGAATCCTTCAAACATTAATCCTCTCAAAAGAAATATTTATTTCTTTTTTCGCGCTTGGGCATTCGTATAGGCGGTGAGTTGCTGTCCTGTAGAAGATTTAGTATCATAATAGGATTATATTTTCCGACGAACATCGCTGCTATTCCATCTTTATAAAGAAGTTAGTCCAGGCTATATCGTTTGTATACCAATTTAAAATTCAGTATAGGAAGTTGTAGCATTTGAGTACATGGATACTACGAGTATATAAAAAAGGTGATAGTGATTGGTGCATGATCCATGAAAGTATTAAAAAATTAAAATTCGATAATATTCAGTATTTTGGGAATTCAGTACGTTTCGATGGGGCTGTAGACACACTCGAATTTTTTTACCTATCTTATATCAATTTTTCCATGTTCAAATAGTATTCGATTCAATTATTCCTCATTTGAAATCATCAGATCCTCTTTTTTAAGTTGTACCATTTGAATTCACCAGCTCTTTATGGCGTTATACATTACCTACTGTCTTAGATAAGTACCTACTGAATAAATGAGTCGAATTTCAATCTGAATCTTCCATATTCATACGAGAAAAGCAGATATACAGGGTGATCCATGTTTGAGTAATGATGTCTTCGACAATTTTTTCAAATGGAACAACCTATATATTATTCAATTTCATACCATTAAACTTCATTTCTGATATTTCCAGATTTTTCCATTGTCTTTATCTAGCAACACAATTCGTGAACTTTCCTAGAATCTCTTAGTCTTGAGATTCTATCTGTCAGCGTAACAATAAACCACTTTGAGATTTTCGGGTGTTGCGATACGACAGCCTGAAGTTTTCTAACCATTCTCAAACCTCATTGTCATATTGGTAACAGTAAATCACGTGATACATAAAGTTATTAACGAGACCTTCGGGGTCTCGAATGAAAGGAATAACATTCTTGTAAGCCGAAATCACTATACGAATGATCACAGAATAAAACTCCCTGATCAAACTCAGCCGCCACAATTTTATTGCGAAAAATAATCATCAAAAAACTACGTGTCTCAGCATGTCACGTGATGGAAATGGTTCGAAAGATTTAGGCTTTTCTGTTGTCTATAATCCTTGGCGATAGCCTACAGAATTGTGACTTGCTGTCGTTCTGTAAGTATAGACGTAGGGGTCTATGCAGGACTCAATCGCAAGGTATGATCGTTGAATAATCTACTACTCTACGTTCGCACTCTAGCCACTAGATGGCTCTGAAGGCTAGATCGTCCTTCTGTCCCCTCCGGGCTTTCATCTTTATCATATATAGAGGTACCCTTCGTGAATCGACTGAAGGAGTGTAAGCTGAAGCTTGCCTAATGCAACTGATGAAACTTGGCAAGCAGCCGAAACATCAGCTGTTTGATTCACGAAATTTCCCTACATGCTCTTATGTCTTGAGATATTAGGTTATCATTGAATTATGAGTTTCGTTAAAATAACCATTTGTCTAATAGCAATGGAATTTCCATAATCATCAATTCATCCTTACTCGTGTAATTATATGTATTGCTCACAGATTGAGTTCAGGAGCAACTCAATAGACGACGAAAAATGATTGTCAAATTCAGTGTGTATTGTGATAATAGGGGGATAGTATGGTATTGAAGAAGGAAGAAAATAGTTATTGACTATAAAGGGAAAAAAGTTATAGATTTCAGATAGAGGAAACAAAAAACCCTGAGCGAAAATCAATATTTTTTCCGTGTATAATATATTTTTCTTGTGACAGGGTAAAGGACGAATCAATATTGAAGAGATATTACTTTTCTTCAGAATCACAAAATTATCGACGTGAAATTTTGGTTTTTGATAGGAATGACACCTGCGTTGCAGGCATCTTCATCATTCTTTTGAAGTAATCAAATATCTCTCTAATTCTGTGATTTGATTTTTAAAAAATGCGAATTCGGTGGTAGTTTAGAAATTTGCGTAACTGCGAAGTCGTATGGAAGATAAAAGGACTTGCAGTTTTTACTCGGAACGGTGTTATTGTAATTTTTTTGGAACTATTGCACAACAGAAGCCATCAACGGTGAATAAGGGAAGTGCACGAAAAACGACCAGGACTGTAACTTTTGAATTATTCGAGACGGGGTTTTGGATGAAACAATTCTTCTTCTATCACTACCAGTTTCACCGAAAACGACCCCAACTTTTGATTTCCAAAAGGGACACCCTGTATAATATTGAATTATCGGTTAGGAATTATCATGACGAATTCAACGATACCAGGTTTGATAAGGTTATTTCAAACAATTACAAAGATGTGACTTCGTAATCAAAACTTTTTTCTCTGTCACACTCATTGAGTATATGGAAACTTGGAACGCGAATATCTGCGTAATCGTTTGGAATAACCCTATCACAACCGGTATCGATGAATTCGTTATGACAATCTCCAATCGATTATGGAATACAATACAGCGGTGTCCCATTTGAAAATTAGAAGTTTGGGTCGTTTTCAGTAAAACCGGAAGTGACTAAACAAAAATCGTTCCGTCAATAAATGAGCAATTTGGTATTCTAGCTGCTCACCAAGTTTCAAAACCCTATCTCGAATAATTCAAAAGTTACAGTCCTGGTCGTTTTTTGTGCACTCCTCTGTATGTGATATATATCCGGAAAGAATGTACGTACTTTTTTTCCGTGAGAAAAGAGTAATCTATAGAAAGTTACATTTTATTGCCTGTCAACTGAGATGAAATAATTTTTTTCCCGTCACAGAAAAAAATTATTTCAAATGTCGTGTGTAAATTATAATGTCGAACAGAGTCTTCTACATTTCACGAACTTTGGTCAGATCGTTACAATTTTCTTGTTGAAGGATTTGCAAGAAATGAACATGATATACGATGACGAGGTAGACGTTGATATTTTGCTTACGACTCTCGTTTCCAGGACTCGATGATTGAAACGTACAAGAAAATGTGGCGATTCATGGAGAACAGGAAGCCGTCAGTCTTCGTGCCCACCTATGAAGAGGGCATCCAGAAGGTCCTGGACGGGAATTACGCGTTCCTCATGGAATCCACGATGCTTGATTTCATCGTCCAACGTGACTGCAACCTCACACAGATCGGCGGGCTGTTGGATTCTAAAGGTCGGGAAAGTAACGTAACAATGGATTTAAGCGGCGTTCACAACCAAACTTTTTACGTTTTGCTTTTTACGTTTCGTATTCTGATTGGTAAAGCAGAATCTGGGATTAAACTTGAATTAAACGTATGCAGGTGTCATTCACAAAACAGAAAATCAATGTGATTTTTAGGGCTTCTCTCAGTTGCCTTGGTTTTGTCATTTGCGCTTCATGCTGAAATAAAGTGAAATAATCATAACAATAATATTGATCAGATGATTGATAATGTTCATTGAACTGGCGGTGACGTGAATTGATCGATATTCAATACTTGAAGAGAAAAATCAGTCCTCAAGAAGAGAATAATAAATTGAACACTATAACTATTAACTATAATACATGGTTGTATACAGATTGAATGATGCTTTCAGAATCTGTGAACAGATACCGAGGACTGTATTCTAAAAATTGAGTTGATGATGGTACTACGAATGCGAAAAACATCGCATAGAGAAATCTATATAACCACGTCAAATCTGATCATACTTTGCTATGAAAATCAGTGTTTTCTGTTATGAATAAGAAACTCTCCATGATAAAATACAGGAAATCTATTGAAATATCTAATGTTTGATTCACCCCGAACACACGAAGTATCCTAACTATGCTACAATTTCAGAATTTGTGCCCATAATTACATATATCGATTTTCTAGAATGATGAAATGCATCTGCGTGTTCAATCAGTGAGAAAGAAAGCATTCATGAAATCGGTGCGAACATCCCTTCCAGGTTATGGAATCGTAACGCCAATGGCCAGGAGGTATATCATATGGCTGGCTTAGGTTAGGTTAGGTTCCATGTGAGTGGGGCGAACACCTCCCCTCCACTGCGACCCCAGATGGGTCTATTGTGGCTCACCCCTAGAGGTTACAGTTCACCGTACAATCCACATCTTTTTACAAAGTTCATGGTTGAATTGGGTGAGATTTGTCTGAAATCGATAGGTTCTAGGTTGGTAAAGCCAAATGTGTCGAACCTTAGTCTTTCTAAGCTAGAGCATGAACATAATATGTGTTCAGCCGTTTCGTCTTCCACACAACAGAACCGACAGTCCGTTTGTTGGTTCAGACCCATCCTTCCCAGGTGGTATCTTAGACGACAGTGTCCCGTAAGCAGTCCAGTCAGAATTCGCAGGTTACCCCTGCTCCATTCTAGGATCTGCCTGGTTATTTTTTCCGATGGTTTAGGCAGGAACGCCTTCGAATGGGTTAATCCTGGTAATTCGGACCAGTACGTGAGTGTTTTTCCCTCCGCCCAGCCCGTGATAGTTGTTTTCGCCGCACTTGCGGTGACCCCAAAATATGGTTCTGGTCCTATGAACACAGATTCGGTTCCCTGTTTGGCGAGGATGTCGGTATGGCTGGCTTACCTCGAGATACAGGAAAAAATAGAATAAATCATATCGATTCTCTATGCATTCACTTACATCGATACCTTCTACTGAAAAAACTATGAATAATCTGGAGTCTCCAAAAACTGTTAGAATGACCCTCAGATCGCGATTTTTTCCATTCAACGGAATTTTTACCTCCTACCATCGCCGAGATCCCCTTACATTATCTTGGTCATACTACATATCTAGTTACGAATTTGAAATCTTTATAATGAAATACAGGAACCCTATTCAAAAATCTAATATTTTATTCAACACGAATACACGAAGCAACCTACTGTATGCTTCACAATAATCTCAAAATTAGTGCCTGAGGTTCCTTACTGATTTTCTCAACAGTGAAAACACATGAGCTTTTTTTTCATCGTATAAACATTTGCCGATCAGTCATTTCACGAGAGAGAAATAACTGATGGAAAATATATTTTTTTATGTTCTGGTTCCTGTAATGTTCAGAGAACATCGTGAGAACCAAGGGAAATAAGGTAGGAATTGATGTTTCTTCTTGAATTTCTGAGTTACTTAAGAAATGTATCCAATCAAAAAAAAATCGAGTGTTTTTTGGCAAGATAAATCAACGACATACGAATAAACAACAATAATGATTACCTTTATTGATGATTACGTGTAATTGGTAGTTTGCGGAATTGATTTTCTCATACTTTCGTGGTTTCTTCAGACGAAATCTTCCCAAAACGGCTCAACTTGCTAATTTTTGCTTGAACCATACCTATCAATCAAACTCGACACGGCAGGCAGCTTATCAGCGATAAGAAAGGTGCATCCTTCTTTATCGATGTTAAAATGACTAACGTCGTCGTCAAATAGCGTTTTTCTGTGTAGGGGTTGATTTACCCAATCAAAAAAAAGTTCGAGTGTTTTTTGGCAAGATAAATCAACGACAATATACGGCTAATCTCAATCAAACTTGACACGATAGAAATTTGAGTGACAGCAGGCGCAAATACCTACTAGATCAAAAGAACAGGCAGCTTATCAGCGATAAGAAAGGTGCATCCTTCTTCATCGATGAAAATGACTCACGTCGTCGTCAAATAGCGATTTTCGTGTAGGGTTTGATTTATCCAATCAAAAAAAAGTTCGAGTGTTCCTTGGCAAGATAAATCAATGACAATATACGGCTCATCTTAATCAAACTTGACATGACAGAAATTTGAGTGACATCAGGCGCAAATACCTACTAGATCAAAGGAAGCAGCTTATCAGCATCCTTTTTTATCGATGTCAAAATGACTCACGTCGTCGTCAAAAAGGCGTTTTCCGTGTAGGGGTTGATTTATCGCCGAAAATTCCAAATAATCTCTTTCAGGTTATGGAATCGCAACGCCAATGGGCAGTCCCTGGCGGGATAAAATATCGCTGGCCATCCTCGAGATGCAGGAGAAAGGAGAAATCCAAATGCTTTACGACAAGTGGTGGAAGAACACCGGCGAAACGTGCCAGAGGAACGACAAGGGCAAGGAGTCCAAGGCCAACTCCCTGGGAGTTGATAACATAGGTGGCGTTTTCGTGGTGCTCCTGTGCGGGCTGGCTTTCGCAGTGATTATCGCCATCATCGAGTTTTGCTACAACTCGAAGAAAAATGCAATCACTGAAAAGGTAAGTAGGGTTTCATCGAGACGAGAATTCTCGTCTCGAAGGCATTTTCTCGTCTCGTCTCGATCATCGAGACGAGAAATTAACAAACTCTCGTCTCGATGTTTTTCTCGAAGACTATTTCTCGATCTCGATTCGAGACTCTCGAAATTTCGAGAGTCTCGAAAACAAAAACTGAATGTTATTAAAAATGCTATGTACAGGCCAAGGCCAGAGCTGAATCAGAATAAAGGTTATTAATTTTTTTCTATAAAAGAATTATGTTAATACATGAACTCAAAGCCACGTATAACAAACAAACCGCCGAGCATCAGCAAAAGAGGAAAAATATTGTATTGAGAAGGTATATTCTCAGATATATTGCATGAAAAAAAAATGATGCATTTAAAGAAATGCATTGAGAAATCGCATTCTCTATGTTATGAAAATATTAATTCTTTCTCGGTATATTCAACAGAAAACAACCACTTTCCTGGCTGTATGCCACGACGAACATTGAATTATATCTATTGAACACACACGATGAGAATTTGAAAATAAAATCTTCTGAATTCAAGAATTTGCATTTATATCAATTTTTTCAAAGTTTATTATACATCTGAGAATATTCTTTTTCAATACTTTCTTCATCCAAATCAAGGGATTCAATTTGTCATACATCCAAAACAAAAGAATATTATTCCAAAAAAATGAAAATTGAACGAATTCTTGATGTTTGAATTCAATCTTTTATCCATATATAGGACATTCAAAATTTACCTAGGTACGAAAAGTGAATGTTTGAAAGTGTTTCTTCGTTCGTGAACAGCACCTGCAACAAACTCATTTTTTATTATCGAAACAGTCGTCTCTTGAACAACCCGATATAACGCAAATTAATGTATGAATTATGAAATTATTTTTTAGCTTAGTTTTTCATTGTCTTTTTTCTGGCGTACAGTTGTATTCAAAAAAATAGCGTACGAGTATTAGAGAGAGAAGCTAACGTCATCCTATTTGCGTAAAACGGGCTGTCGATATGTTGACATTCGTCATAGGTTGTCAAAACTACAAAGCATTGGCTGAGCCAGTTTTACACAACTAGAACTAGGATGACGTTGACCTCTCTTTTTAATACATGTACGCCATTTTATTGAATACAACTGTACTTGGAGCTGTGAGTTATTGCAGCGCATAATTTTTTTCGAGATCGAAAAATCTCGAAATAATTTCTCGATCTCGAAAAATCTCGAAGTGTTTTTCTCGATCTCGTCTCGAAAAAAAATTGGTGGTCTCGTCTCGATCTCTTCTCTAAATCGAGACGAGACGAGACGAGAAATCTCGAATTTCGAGAGTCTCGTGAAACCCTAAAGGTAAGAGAGGCAAATAATATACAGAGTGTTTCACAGGTAGAAGGAAATATTTCAATGGTAGTTAGGGGTGGCCAAGGTGCTTTTGAAAATATCATATTTGATGAAACTTACAGTCATTATAACAGATACAGGGTGATTCATCGATTTCGAATAATTATTCACTCGCCCATAAGTATTCATGAAAAATTTACATTCATTCGAAATATAAAAAAACACTGTGTTTGATGATCAACAAATATTATCAGGAGAATCGTGAAGGTGAAAAAAACTGAATTGGGTTTGATACTGTTCGCTTTCCTGCCACCAATTCTCATCGTTACACCCATAAACAGGAAATTCTTGTTCTAATTTTATGAAAAACTTTATTTTTTAAATCCCAGGTATTTGGCATTGTGAACATTGTTATTTTCCATGACCGTTTGGTGTAGGAGTTAGGAGTTAAATAAGGCTCGAATTCTGGGGAAAAGGATAAGAGCTTATTCCACATTACTCTTTTCATCAGATTCAGAATCAGCATCTCCAAAAACCCCTGAATTCACATTTTCAAAATTTAAAAACCTGACTCTAGGAGAAAACATACTTTGAGTATGTTTCAATAAGTTCTTTATTTGTAACTGAGGTAACAAAATTACGAATCACATTATTCAAGAAACGGTATGGAGGTGTTTGCAATGCAATAGGATTAAGGCATTTGAAAAGAAAGTTAGAAATAAACAACTATTAGAAAAAATAAATTCTGATAAAATCAGCTCTCGAGATTTTGAAAATATGAGTTGAGTGTGTTCATGAGTCAAGCCATTTTTTACTCTCAACACCAATTACTTCTTCCTTCTAACATACAAGCTGAGAATTTCTGTAATCGCATTTGAGAGCAGAGTGATAGGAAGCAGATTTTCATTCATGCGGCCTCTGAATCAAACAGATGAATAATATAAAAGAACACTCCTGGGAAGTCTACCACTGCAATGTCAATAAAAATTGTGATTTCTTATCGATTTTGATCATTTTCTATTATGACGCCTTTTTCTTTGTAAACTATACTAGCTTCGTTCATATTTGACTTTGATATTCGAGATGGTAGTTTATCTATGACTCTAACCTATACTGCTTATACCATTGTCGTTCTAAATGACAACCCAGTTAGGTAGTTAGTAGGCAAGAGGTACCTCCTCGCGTACTAGGTCGCCTACTAGGTTTTCATTCAGATCGACAATGCTTATACTAAACAAATCAATTCAATTCGAACTCAAACGAAACCAGAAACTTGTGCTCAAACTTCAACTGACTCTCAGTCTTCAGTCATTCAACAAAAAGCTGTCAAAGTTGGAATATATTAAAATTTTCTGAATTAGTAATCCGAGCAGATCGATTTCATTTTTACCTGGCTATCGCATCACATAACGTCCCAAATCAATTGGATCTTGTTCTAAATGACATTGAAAAAGGGCCATGGAGGTAATGTGATTGCAGAACATCTCTACAATCACTACCAAACATTCAGCAAAATCGCAAAATTCGAAAACCTTACGCCATTTCTCAGGAGTTCACTCGTCAAACCCCAATGAATTCACTTGGCTTAGCCTGATTTACAATTTTTTATTGGTTTCACGATCATTTGACTGAAAATCATCCCATGGCCGTGGCATGTTTTGTGCTGTTCTAAAAATGTTATCAACATTTCCCAGTGGACATCTCTGAGTTTGAAGGACATCGAAAATTAATTATACATTAAGCTGTGCTTTCACATAAAGAAGATGATCTAACCTCAAATTGGGATGAAGATGAAAAGAAACATTGACAAAACGCATCGAGTCGTCTCCTCTTGAGCTATCGAGGAATCGAGTCGAGTTTACACGATCCATTCGAGAAACAGAATGCCAAATGTGGAATAAAGATGGTCGATTCGACTCGATTCGTGAAATAGAATCTCGCTGCAGATGTCAATACCGAACTTGACTAATAAAGATTCGAAATAACTATATTCTTCGTGTCCTCTTCCAGAGATCCACCACCTCTCCGCACCAGTCCCTGTGCTCGGAGATGGGCGGCGAGCTGTGCTTCGCGCTGCGCTGCAGGGGCTCCCGCCAGCGGCCCGCCCTGCGCAGGCAGTGCTCCAAGTGCCTGCCGGGCGGCATCACGTACGTGCCCGCCCTGCTCGACATCCCGCCCCGTCCGCCCCGCCCGCCCGCGAGAGTGCCGCCAGCGAACGGGGCAACTTCGAGGAAGGGATCAATGGTAAGGAGTTTTCTCGCTATCGTTTCGGTGCGTTCACCTCTGATGTGACGTCAAAACCCTAATACTGAAACAAGACTATTCCAGACAGAGATAAATGATACATGATTTCTGACAGAGTGAATTAGCGCGAGATCACAGTTGAAAGAATTAATATATCAGTTGCCTCAGTCTCCGTCGGGCGTTTGGTATTTTCTTTTAGCTATGGCGAGATGAGGTTTCTACGTCATAAGAGGGTCCGTTTTCAGAAGGTACTATTATTTATATCCAAAAATAAAACATTACAGTTAATTTTTCGATCGAATTATCTCGTCAATCATTATTTATGTATAAAAGGACCATTATAAACATGGTTTGAGTTAAAAGTTCTACTAAGGTGTACACGCCGATTCCTGAAACCATATCAAGTCAACAATGATTTCACCTGATGGTCTTACACGTGTAACGTCTAATGATGATTTTGATGTTATTCCAGAAGGAAGAGTTCACCTTTGAAGGCGATCGCCCGATATCCAGGTTCTGCAATTCATCGCACTGTGATGACTGATGCCAATTTCAGAGGAATATCATTTGCCTGCCTACAAGATTTCAACATCTGTTTCGAGCATGTTGCTATTGGTTTCTTATATAGTCTTCTATAGAGTTTCTACTTGCAGCCGGAAAATCAAATACGTATAAAGGTTACCTAATGTACAAAGCACTAATATTTTATAGAGACGTTTGATGTTTTAAAATAAATATATTATTGAACCAACCAGTTTTGTTCTATTTAATCAATATTTCTGATCACAATGATTACAATTTTGTTTCCTCAAATACGAACCTATCGATCGATTCCCTCCTGAAACTGCTCCAATTAACTTCGGAATTAACGACCATATCAACAGCTTTCTTTTCGTGTCTTGCTTCGTTCATGAAAAATAAATTGAAACCCAACATTTGTCTTGCTGCACCATTTGGGGCAAAGAACTGATTGCTGAAATCGTTCCAAAATTTTTCCGACAGCGTTTGTTTTCAACCTCAACTTCTCTTTGAAATGTAGAAGGTGTAGCTGTAGAAGGTTTATTTGATAAATTTGACGCAAGTTATCCTACCTTGCAATGTCAAAGCATTACTCTCGTTATATTTTCAAGAATGTGACCAGTAATTACCATTTTTAGCTGGAATCTATTGAGATTTGTTACTGTATTGGGATTACAAATAAAAAAATAATCAATGAGGCAAATCAAAAACCCATCAGTGTAAAAAGTTCGGAAACAATTGTTATGTTTTCTTCCTGTGAGAAGTTTGTTTTTGTGATCAATGGAATAGAATACTTTTTGATGAAAAATCAACCAAAGTTCATTTAGGAAGAAAAATTTGGGTGTCCCTCAAAAGGACGTTGTGAACCTGATAACATAACGTAACAATCATTGCATATATCAAAGACTGGAACCTTTGGCACGAAAATACACTACAAACTGTTTCACCACTAACCAAACGCCTCGACACGTGTTAGCATCTCCAGGAGAAAATTAAAATATTTAAATTTGACCTCATCAAATGGGTAGTCTCTTTTCTTGTTCTTGTAATGTTTTAGTTATTATTGACTGGTACTCTGACCAATTTTTCAGATATCTTCGTGAATATTGTGAATAAAACTATCAAATATAGTATATCAGTGAACTCGTTAAACAACTCGATATCAAATGATATAAAAATATATGGGGTGCTTTATTCAAAAGAAGGAAGTTGATAATAATTCCGAAAAACCTGATAACGTGGCAACATTGGCGATATAATTTTTCGAACCGCCACATTTCCAATTCACCATGTATAAGAAGTCAGGAAGATCTAACGACTGGTTACTGAGATATATGGATGGTTCCATACATTCGATCAACTCTATATTCTAAACTGAACTCATTCAATAATCATAAATTGAAATAGATTTGAATGAAATGTCTAATTATTTATTAAACCAAATCCATCTGTCCTGACAACCATCATCATCTCTTTCTATCATAGTATATAACTCTATACAGGATACTCTACATCCTCCTCCTTTGTGATGTAAAATATCATATGATTATTATAGATCCAATTTCTGAGGAGGTTTGGACACGCTACCATATGAGGTGAGAGTTACCTTCTCAACGATGTTCTCCTCTGTACTTGTATCTTTACATTCATTCTTATCTATAGATACACTATCATGATCGCTATTGGAGGTAGAAGGAAGATATTCAGCTATTGGGTCGTAATTTGGATATATAGAATTATTTTTTTCAACATTTTTGTCTACATAATGCTGTTCAGGTTCCAATTCTGAACTATCGTTACCCAAAATGTTATTTTCACCATTTTTGAGTTCAATGAAAAAACTAGTCTCCTTATTTTCAACCAATTTGATTTTTCAACGAAGATGATGACTGATTTATGTCACTGTTTATATCCGAACGATTTCTATCTTTTTCCACATCTATAACATAATTTAATTTCACGATTTGGATCAAAACATTTGTCATGTTGACATTCATTATTTTATGATGATTTTTTGTAGTTATATGTTCCCTTACGTATGATATTCACTGAATTATTACTTATTACTATTCGACGCATTTTCATTGAAGTGGCTCTCCGAACTTGCATTTCTAACTCTCGATGTTTCGATGACGAAACATTTTTCGATGGCTTTCTCCAAAGAAACCTTGTCATCTTCTTGTAGAAGTTTGTCTCTCACTTCCGAATTGGATATACCGCAGATCAGAAGGGTTTTTGTTATTTCCTCTCGTAGGATTTTGCATTTTCATTTCATTGCCAGTTTCTTTATTTCAGTGACGAATTGATCCAATGTCTGTCCTGGTTGTTGTTTGTATGAAATGAATTCGTAGCGCTCATAAGTAAAATTTTCTCTTGGTAGAAAATGTGCTTCAAATTTATCTAGTAGTACCTTGAGCTTGCTTTCCTCATCACCCTCGAATGTGAAAGTTGTGTAGATATTGAAACCTTCTCCTCCAATGAAGTGAAGTATTTGAGCAAATTGTACTTTTTTCCCTTCCTTGCTAATTTTGCTGGCTATGAGGTAGTTTTCAAAGCGTGCTCTCCATATCTTCCAATTTTCGGCAATGCTACCTATCATGGACATTGGTGCTATTCCTCGGCTATCACCCATACTTTCCAATGGATTATCAGTCTTCTTATATTATTACTGTTTCAAAGCGTAGGACGACTGCGCCATGTAATATTGTAATAATATAATTATAAATTGAAATAGATTTGAGTGAAATGTATATTTATTCATTTAACCATATCCATTTGTCCTGACAACCATCATCATCACTTTCTATCATAGTATATCACTCTATACTGAATACTCTACATTGATGTCAGGTTTCGAAAAATTGTCAATTTTCATACTTTTGCTATGAAAACTGCCTCAATAATTACTCAAATCTACATTACACAAGGTAATTAAAAACGTCATGAATACTCAAGTAACATGAATGTATTCAAATCATTGATAATATTCGAATACTTTGGATATGTATAACTTTGAAAGTATTCAAATACTTTGGAAATACTCAAATCCTTTGGAAATATTCAAATACTTTCGGCGACTTCAAATACTTTGGATATACTCAAATACTTTGAAAGTATTTAAATACTCAGGAAATACTCAAACACTTCAAAAGTATTCAAATACTAACTGTGAACTATTCAAGAACGTTTGTGTTCGTTATTAAAATTCTATTCGGCCTTTGAAAATATTCAATATTCAAATATTTTCAATTTCCGAAAGTATTTGATACTCAACATTTAAATACTCTTCTCAGAGTATTTGCCTTTTTGTGACTATTGTGAGATATCGAATTATTCGATGATAGGTATTAGTTAATCAGTTCCATATACTAAAAACACACAATTTCATTTCATTCATTTGTTATCGATTGATTATTTAATCCAATTGTACGAAGGAGATCGAGAGTGGGACGCAACTATAATAAGACTGTGAAGTGCTTGGATTACGCATATGTTTGTAAGTACCCATAATTATATAACTCAATTCGAATCATCCTATTTCTAGAGTTATCACTCTGTACACAGTCAACAGTTGAAATTAGTTAGGTATATTAGTCGAACTTGTATCAAACATCATCATATGAATGTTCGTACAAATTGATGAATATAGTACAGAAATTCCCTAACAGCTATAGTTTTCCTATCATCCACTGTACCAACGCTATGACGCCAAAAACTGCATACAAACTGTAATTAGTCTACTCAATTAGTCTCAACTAATTAGTGACTCAATTGATAATTGAAGAGGTCAGTATAATAATTATAATAAATGTTAATTGAAATAGGAATCCTATAATACATAAGCTAGTACTTATATAGATTTGGTACTGGTTACTAATTTGTAAAACAAATTACTGAAAAGCCTATTAATATATAAATACTTACCAAATCAACTAACTAATCTACTCAATCACTTATGTTTGTTGTGAAAAAAAATTATTTGTATATACAGGGTGTTTCCTAATTGAATGTCAATATTTGAGGAGTTAATTCTTTGGTCCATTTTAAGAAGAAAATGTCATATGAACATAGGACTTCGACGTCTCAACTTTCGAGATACAGGGTGGTAAAATCAAGTGGTATCACATATATTGATGAAAACTATTTATTTTTGAGAACTTGACCACCCTGTATCTCAAAATTTGATGTTCAGGTCATACGTTCATATGACATTTTCATTTTAAAATAGGCCCACGGATCGCCTCCTAAAATATTGACATTCAATTAGGAAACACCCCGTATATGTCCATTATTTTCTTCTCAGTCGTTTAATATGATATGTATGCCTACATAATATACTAGCCTATCTTTTGGGTAAATCAAGCTCTTCCAATGACATATTTAATTAGTTCCATTTCGAAAATTCTCATTGATGGTAAAGATTTCATTGTAGTGGGCAAATCATTGAATTGACTGAAGACTCATGCAATTTTTGGAGTTTGTTCAATTGTAGATGATTACTATTTGATTTGTCCAAAGTGATAGGTAGATGCTTGAAAATATGGTGGTGTCATTTTATTCAATATTTTGTATATGAAAATCATTGAGCAGTATAGAACAATTTTTGGGAAACTCAAAGCCATTGTAGGGTACCCAGCGAGCACAAACATCCCTGGGATGTTTTGGGATGTTTTGAAAATGTTGGCATGAAGATGTTATTTTGAGACGTAATATGCACTGACCAAAGAGGTCTTTGAAGGATATTGAAGTATTGTTTTTGTTCTTCTGTGGCATTTCTTTGTTTGCCTACTGAGAGGTATCCCTGGGATGTTTTGGGATGTTTTAGAAATGTAGGCATGAGGATGTTTTTTTGTGGCGTGATATGCACTTCCCAAAGAGGTCTTAGAAGGATATTGAAAGTATTGTTTTTGTTCTTTTGTGCCCTTTCTTTGTATGCCCCACCACAACGTCTCATGCTTACGTCACAATACGATGAATTCTAATTTGTTTTCGATTTTGTTTTTCTTGTTCGCAATTGGCATTCGCGTTTGCAGCGTGTCACGCTTACATCACGCTGCTAACGAACAGAAAGGAATTTGGTGAAGTGTATTGTGTTGGAAGACTTATTTAGATTGTTATAATGACCATCAGATGCAAGATGTGTTGTTCGGTGCCTCAGTGTAATCAATATATAAAAGTACTAATTCATCAATACACAGCTTCTCCGCAGTTGCAAAATTATGCATTGTG